AAAATGACATGACACAAAATGCTGCGGTGGAATCAGATACTTTAGTTGTTGCCACATATGTTGATAATGACGAAGGTGATTCTGCTGGCAGTGGTGGTGTAGTTGAAGCTTCTAGTGCGGTGCAAAATGAACCCAGCGATATCAATCAGCTGTTGTCCATTGTGCGTTTATGCGATGGTCCCTCGACAAGTACACAAGAGCCCAGTGATGAATTGCATAAAACAAAAACTTCCACATGTGTAAGTAATGTAACAGCCAACATAGCACCACCTTCTGTTCAGAGTGTTACAGCAACAGCACCGACAATTAAGGAAACAACAAGTTCGTCAGCTTTGACAGTAGCTATTGATTGTGATGAATTGCCATACGCAACAAGTACCAGTTCAAATTCCAAAACACAGTCATCACAGCAATCTCCCAAGCCAACAATTTCAGTAAAATGCTTCAGCCCAATGTTAAGAGTCCAAACAATCCAAAATGAGACATTGCCATTACCAAATGTTTGCGTCGTTACGGAACGGCGAAAGGAAAATTCGGAAAGTGATAATGTGGCTGGTCCACAAATGCAAAGTTCAAACGATGATAATCCAATTTGTCTGCCAGCAGTAGCAGACTTGGATAGAGGGACACGTGCAGCAATGCCGGAAGTTACAATTGAGGAGCTTACGTCGGCGTCGGAATCGCGTGCACCATCACCTGCCAATTCCAGCGTTACCAGTGTGTCAACACCTCGGGCATCAAGAAGTGCGATTGGACGCCGTGTTGTATGCTTGCGTCATATTCGACGCGCACCCAAAGAACCAGAGGAGTACATGGATGCATTGTTTCCGCATATACGCGAGGCACATAACCAAATACGAAAGACCTTACTACATTCGCCGCTCACTGATGTCAAGGATAATGCATTATTAAAGCGTAAAATGTTTGAGGTCATTCGACACTATATCAGGTATAACGCGGCTGCATTTATAAGTTTTGAAGGTTTTACAACTTTATGTGGTATATTTCTCTTTTCAGTGGTTGTAAAAATGAGTTTGAACGAGTTACAGCATCGGTTATATTGTGCCGCCGGCTAAAGCGAAATATTATACGTCTGTTGGATTTGTTCCATGATATTTGTTCGTCTAGTCGAGAGGTACATAAATATAAAAAAAAATTATGGTACCATGACCACTACTTAATACTTGTATTATTATTATTTTTTCACTTCAGGATCCTGCTTATTTGTATCACATAAGTCAATTGATTGCAGTGTACAACTCGCTCGAAATAAAATTATCATTCAATTTGACAAGATTACAGAAATGCGCTTTAATCCATCGTATAGCCCACATTATAAATAAGCACCTATTGGTGAAGGATGAAGTAAGCACACAATTATTTTAATTAAACTTTTCTTTTATTGATTATTATAATTTTTATATTTAACCTAGTCGTTGGCCAAGGAAAATGTACTCAGAATGTTTCTACATATGCCCGATATGTATTCGGCACGTTTTATAATGGAACCACTTTTTAAGTATGTCACTACTGATCTCATACATCACATTTATATTGCACAGTAATTCAATACCATTTAATTTAATTTTCGTTTATCCTCACAGCACCTTTTTAGCGGAAATTCCAACAAGCAACAATACGCGGTGTCAAAGAGAATTGCCGGATAAGAAATTTGTACAATATATTATAGTATTGCATCTATGGAAGGAAATGCTGCGAAATCCTCTTGAGCAGGTTGAATTAATAAACCGCGCACAGCATTTTATGTGTCCCACTAAAACGTTGCATACGAATCCCATGTATGTTAATCACTTGCCAACAATTCACACACGCAAACATGCTGTGAAAGATATTTTGAATAGTCTAAAATATTTTCACGATTTAAAAAATGTAAGTTGATAGTATGGTTTATAATCACTATTTAAACTATAATCTTAAATTTGAAGTTCATCTTATTTTTACATTTTATTACATTATATTATTATTTCAGGCCGCAATTTGTGATGATACCTTGGAAGATGGGGATGACGATATTGAAGTCGTTATTGTGAGTATCAAATAAAATAAAATTATAGTATTTCATATTAGGGCAAAGCTTGTCCACTACGGACTATGCATGTTAATTTAAAAACACTTTGGTCTGGAGTTGAATGCTTCACTAAAGGCGGACCTCCATAGCATGCGTATCCGTATGCGTGCGTTTGACATTTACGCTTAGAAATCGAAATTCATACAATTTTCGTACATTTACATGCGTTGCTATGTAGGTGCACGCATACGTATACGCATGCTATGGAGATCCGCCTTAACAGGCTAACCTAATTCACGCATGTCGCCAATTTACTGTCAAAAATTTCTCATGCACATACAACTTGTATGGGACCGACCGAAATTGAACGGCGTGCGTATGAAGCTGAGTCAATTTGCAATTTTTGTTCTGCGTAACATTTAGATTTGATTCGCTCAATGCAATCAAATGCAAACGCACGCAAGCCAATTTCGGGTGACGCAAAAAAATAAATTCTCGGCGTGCGTTCCAAAACGCAACATTTGGAGACCTTTATACTTCTGTACTTTACGTGCAACCGGACTTCCGTTAAACTTAAACGGACGGCGGGGTTGATCCGGATTAACTCGGACTGCAGTTAATTCCTGAGTTTATCCGGATCAACGCCGCCGTTTGTTTACGCTTTTACGGATAAACATCTGTAAAATGCACCACCAAAGTCCGTAACACCATAAAAACTCAGGTTACTCGTAGCCTTAACAAACTCTCGTCAAAATTCAACCGCGTCAAGTCATCCGCATAGCTCATTCCCACGACAGCCGGTTTTACTTACCGGAATGTCTCGGGGGGGTTTAACCCGACCAAGGGCTGTTTTTTCAGCGATCTAACCCCGTTTAGGGTTGTACGTCCATAGGGACCGGAAACATATACCTGCTGCGTGTGCCAGAGACGATTATATCACAACTCCACCTCCGTCAAATGCCACACGTGCAATGGGTGGAGCCATCTCCGAGTT